TTGGATATAGTTAGGCGAAAAGGCTATTAAGAGCCAATGTCTGTAATTTTCGAGAATCGGTTGACAGTCGTGAATTTTTGAATTTCTTCATATTTTGCTCAAATAATTTCTATAGTACACTTATTTCAAAAATCACGTTAAAACTTGTATCAGCTTTTTATTTTTTCAGGAATCAGGCAAAGTTTGAGAAACTCTAAATCGGCGCTCTTTCGAGTATGAAATTAGCGAAAATGGAGCATTTTCTTCGCGCTCGTACATAAAAATAGAATAATATCTCTCGATGAAATCAAGTCACAAAACAGACACATATTTTTACTTTATAATTCAGCAGTTAACTTTAAATAAACCGTTTAAATGTGACTGTACCGGCCCGAAGAAGAAACACGGTTTCAGCACTTTTCAAAAATGGCAAATTTGACCTAACTTCACCATCGTAAAAACCCAGTTGGTACACGGAATTTCAATATGAAACAAGAACTGTATTGAAGCATATCCTTTGCTGTTGGTTGTGTTAAAATGTTTCTGGCGGCATTCCAAATGCGCACCGTCGAGAGACCAAAACCTGAAGGGTATTTTGACACCAGGAAAGCGCGTGCAACAAGCAAGTTTCAACGCTTGGCATATTAATCCTTCGCAAACCTAAGTTACTTCGACATTTAAATCCTAGTCAGAGTTGTAACGGTTTCAGATTATATTTCGGCGTTTCTGTTCGGTTTAACATGATTCCTTTCAACTGATTTTTGCGATAAACATAATGAAGAGACGAATACGCAGTTCAAATCACAGTTAGTAGAGGGGAATATTGTCGAAATACTAGCTTGCTATGGTTTTAATCGTATTGAAACCTTAATATCAGAAAAGTTATTTACTTACCTGAATTTAAATGCTAGACGGGGTCACAGTACCGCTAACTAAATTCTGCATCACGGCAGAATCGAAGTTAAGTTTGTATATGTTTTCAATCTGTCAACACGAGGGAAGATGACATTCCGGAAGTGCGTGACGCGTAACGCGCCGGAAAAGAAATTCCTGGTATAAGTGTTTTACGGTTCAAGTCTTTGTTGCTTGTTCGTAAACCATCTCGCACATATTCAAACTTGGTTTGTGGCGCCTGTGGCCCCAGTAATGCTGAATGTATTGCGATCATACAAAAGATGTCGTGAGTCACTTGGTATGCTCCTGACTTGTTAGTCACGTGAGTATGTAGGGCAATAACCAAACATCGACCCGACCATGCTAATGATAAAAGTAAGGTTTTCTGTAATTACGTTAGGTGATCTTTGTTTGATCCACAAAATTGGCGCATGAAAATATGAGTTTTTCCTCACCACCTCTAAATGTTTGGTTCCGGGTAGCGGTGCAACAAATCACGTAGTACCGTTCTAGATCAACCTACTGGCTGCTCATAGAGGGGACCATAAAAGCACATTGATTGATGACTCTGTATGGCCTGAACTGAAAATGATATACGCAGACGTTTTCTGAGCGACGAATGTGCAGCTTTTACACTCCTCTTTCGATTCGAAAATAGACGAGCACGCGAGCGAAGCGAGCGCGGGAGACAGAGCCCCTTGCTCTACTGGTCAATAAATCCCCCACGGCTTTTATTTTCATACGCAAAATCGACGATCTCCAAAGAGAAAATAGATCGACGATCTCTAATGAAAAAGTAGAGGGTCTGTGAACAGGCTACGAAGGTGCTTGCTATTATTTTAGTGAACTTTACAAGAGGTCTCAGGTGATTATGCTAACGTCATGAAAAGTCTACTTTAGGGAAGGAGGAGGAGATGGGTGGGTTGGTTGGCATTGGGTTCTCCATTAGGATCACCCCTACACATACAACAATTCATGTCTTTATCACTACATTTAGAGCTAGCAGACTTTGTTTGATCCACAAAATTGGCGCATAAAAATAAAAGTTTTTCCTCACCACCGCTAAATGTTTGGTTCCGAGTGGCGGAGAACAAATCACGTTGTACCGTTTCAGAACAGCCTACTGGCCATGCTGGCTGCTCATTTAAAAAGGGGTCTGTAAAGGCACATTAATTGATAACTCTGTGCGGCCTGAAGAAAATTATATACGCAGACGTTTTCTGAGCGACGAAGGTGCTGCCTTCACACTTCTTTTTCTTTTCGAAAATGGCCACGGACTTCTCGCCTCGCTCCTCTCCGCTAGGCGGTTGTTTTTGCCTGAGAGATACCACCACGAAGCAGATTTAGCACTCAAGTCACTGCAGGTGCAGACCTAGGAAAAGGGCATTCTCCATCTGAAATTTTAAATCGAAGTGAAAGGCTGTTTTCAGCCTTTTATCTCTTTTCTGCGCAACGTATTCGGTTGAAAGGTAGTAAGTAAAATGGCTGAGGCACTTTAAAGCATTTTTTCGTTTACGCGACGGACTTTGACGTTATGAAAAAGAATTTGTCAGTGAATTGGTTTATTTTCTAGCCTGCGAACAAGTGCCGGGGGGATGGTGGCGGATAGAGCCAGGTGACTACTTTTTTTTTTTTAGGCGGGAGCTAACAGTACGTGCATTCTGGTCTACCCCATACTGTGTAGACCGGCCTTTAAGGGCCTCTCTTCGGGGGGCCGAGGGATCAGTACAATTCGTCAACAGCAGGTTGAGGTCTCGCCAGAAGTTGCCCTTGCTGAAGAGGAGCAAAGCAATACTACTTTCAGTAATTTAAACATGTTAAATACTTGTATTTCGCTCATCAAATGTGTCCATTGTCCATTTTCGATTTGTGGTTTTTCAGGAATGTTCTTTTGCGGAGCATTGGCCAATTTTCTTTAAACAGTTTTACTCGTTTCCATTTCCCTGCTCTACCTTCATGCTGCATATGGCATACGTGTGTACCTAAATCCCTCACCTCATTAAAGCAGTCTATACCCCGGGGGGGGGGGGCACTCCCTAATATGGGCTATATAGGTATGTGCGGCCCCAAAGGGTAGGGTTTTTCAGCCGTTTTGGTCATAAATTGGGTATCGATTTTGGCTATTTTGCCGCCATTTTGGTCATAAATAGGGTAACGATTTTTGCACTGTAGTCTTGAATGCACTTTTTTAGAAGAAGCTACTTCCTTATCATGTCCCCCTCCTTCCATCCGCGCTTTGCCTTCCTCTCCACCGGGTGCTTTGTAGGCTAGAAAATGCAAGCAAAAAAAGCCCTTCACAAAATAGGGTATCAAATTTTTGGTTAGGTCATAAATAGGGTAGGGAAAATCGCAGATTTTGGTCATAAATAGGGTAAGGGTTTTGGGAAGCGGGTCGCACACCCCTACCCAATTTTTCTGCGAGTACCCCCGGGGTCTATACGCTAAGCGGGGTAAAGATTAGTTTATTACAAGCAAAGGCACAGAAGGCTTAGTGCAAATAAAAGAAAACTAGTGTGAAAAGTTTTGCAGGCTCGGCTTACTCTATTTGTTTTCTTTCTCTGTTTGAGTTTCGGCTGGTGACATCCTAAAATCAAGTTTAGTTCGACATGTTTTGGGAATATAAAATATAAAACTAAAAAAAACAGTGTTAATTGTACACTCGTGCGATGATTTATCCGGTCTGTACAGTTGCGTGACCAGACTCAAATTACACACGGGCTTTCATCACGCATCACAGCGTTTAGTCCGAGGCTAAACGAGGGAAGATTTCAGCAAACTGCGGCCACTTGCGGTTGAAACGACTGTGGTAAGTAATTCTTAGAGATGTCGAATCCCATTTAGAGCTAGCACGCCGTTTCTAGCGGCTTTATTTTAGGTGCAGAAACTCGAGGTCAATATTTACAGTCCATGCGAACTTAACAGCGTTGTCTTTTTCAGCTACTTGCGTGCAATCAAATGCAGTGTTAATCTACTTAGTTCTTTTTTATGACTATCACATTGAAAATCGTTTTTCAAAAGATTTCTAGAGCTTCCCGTAATGTGCCCCTTGTAAAACAAGCTAAATTAGCAAATACTTTTGTGTTCCTACCCTCGCGGCTAGCTTGTTTTCAGCGTTCCAACGTGCGAAAGTACGCTGCACCTTTCGGTGTCTCAGCGACGCACTTTTGTAATGCCGCCAAAAATTTTTTAACACAAGACATGGCAAAGGATATGCTTTAAAATAGTGTTTGTTTCATGTTGAAATTCCATGTATCAGTTGTTTTTTTCGGTGGTAAAGTTAGGTCAAATTTGCCATTTTTGAAAAGAGCCGAAATCGTGTTTCTTCTTGCGGCCAACACAGTCACATTTAAACAGCTTGTCTAAAGATAATTGCAGAATTATAAAGTACAAGTCTGTGTTTTCCTTGTGACTTGATTTCATTTAGAGATATCATCCCATTTTTATGTACGAGCGCGAAGAAAATGCTTAATTTTCGCTAATTTCATACTCGAAAGAGCGCCGATTTGGCGTTTTTTAAACTTAGCCCGATTCAGGAAAAAATAAAAAGCCGTTACAAGTTTTAATGTGATTTTTGAAATAAGTGTACTATAGAGATTATGTGGGCAAAATATGAAGAAATTCAAAAATTCACGACTGTCAACCGATTCTCGAAAATTACAGACATTGGCTCTTAATAATTATTTAGGTTGCGTAGAAAATTTCACTGTTCATTGCAAATTTTGAAGGGTTTAGTTCCAATTAGCCAATTTGCGACTCCACCACCACTGGTCTTCATTTTGGGGGGGGGAAACCAGTGGTGGCTAAGGCTAAGTTCCAATAAAAGATGTACTGTACTTCTTGTTAGTAAAAAATACTTGTTGGTTAAGTTTAATTTACATTCATTCAATGAATTACAGTATTAAGTGCCCATGGGCATAAACTTCGAGTTTTTCAACTAAAAGTCAGAGTCTGTAATTCGGTGAGACTCTGTTGAAAAAAATTTCACGCACGAGAAACTAAAAGTCAAACGGTCCATGCTGCGGTGAGACTATTGTTCAAAAAAGGTTTATACACTGCACTCGAGTATTGTTTAGGTGAACCACAAAGAAACATAACAGAGTCATACACTGTAAAGAGTGTAATTTTCTTTATGAATATTCTTTGTCTTTCTTAACGGCTGTCAGTCGGCAAGCAGTAACCTTTTCATGTTTCGATCCTCGAAAGTCAAGAGAGAGCTCCCCGTCTTCATCAGTGTATGGAGCTAGATACTTTTGCAGTCCCTCTTCAGTGACAAGTGAAGGATCAAACAGGCCACATGTAGTCGACCATTGCCACTCGAGGAACTCCTGAACGGTTTCGAAGACAGGCCCCTTGCAGTGGATGTCAAAACTCCGAATGATTTCAAATCCCGCCAATAAACAATACCGATCAATCTTCGTCTTTGACTCAAAATGAAACAAACGAAAAATACGCTCTGCGTTCTCCGGGTTCAGTAGCACGTAAGCGTTGTAATCAAACAGGGGCAGATAGGACATGTATTGAACTGCTACTTTTCCACCAACCTTAAGACTTTCAAACACGTTGTTGAAGACTTGTTGCTTGTTACCCATCCAATGAAGAGCATAGTTACTGAAAACGATGTCGTAGACTTCAGCGTCAGGGAAGTTTATAGCACTTCCCTCTACGAATGAAAGATTCTCGATTTGATTGTGAGTCTCTTTAGCCAGCTGAATTCGCTCCTTATCAGGATCGACACCAATAACTTTTCCTTCGGGTCCTACCAACTCAGCAAGGTATGCAGACAGTTCTCCTGTACCGCAGCCTAAATCCAAGATGACATCTCCAATTTTGGGGCAGACATCTGTTTGGATAAAGTCTTCACCGTCCACCTTTTGCTCGGAAAGCAAGTTTTGTTGGTAACCTTCAGCTGCACTTCGCCGTTGCATTTTCTTTTACGAGTTGACGAAAAGTTTTTGAGAAATCGAATGGGATGGTGAAGTTGGACAAAAGTGTGAAAAGCTTGCTTATTTATAGAGTTAGAATCTATCAAAGCATGCATATATTTGTCTCTCAACACGCTACGTGACTTAAAAGTTCTACGTGCTTTACTGTATCCGAGTTCTATTTTCACGAGAATATAATTCAAAACCACTCAAACAAAGCATTGTTGAACGTATTTTAGTATTTAAACGGTAGATATTGGCATATTTTTATCCCCTAAAATTTTTTCCTCTATTCGGATTTCCTAGCTGAAAGTCTAGTGATCCAAAAATTATAGGGATCAAAACTTACCTTTTCGAAAATTTGAGCCAGAAAAAAGGCTCCCGAAAATTATAGGTGATTTTTTTAGGGCAAAAACGGCCTGTTTTGATCTCCTGGTGAATACGGTAAAGGTTTCTACATATAAATCCTATGTGCGAAAAAAAAAATGAAAGCAATGAAAATTAAGCTATTTAAATTTCACTTCACAACAGAATTATACGCCCTTTATATGTATCTTTATTTCAGTTCTCTTAATTTTATAGCTGTATTTTGCATACATTCCATATTGAAATCATTAATTATAATCTTGATTTCAAGCAAACCTTTTATAATGTTATATTTTCATATTGGCCTTTTTGTTTATTTGAATAAAGGGACCATAAGGATCATCACGTACTCCTCTCTCAAAATAAAGTATTTTTGTATTGTATTGTATTTTTTTTCCGCCTTTTAAAGATGCATGGCCTTGCCAATTTTTGGGTCGACAAGCCTAATTAAAATGGCCGGGACAGATCACCTTCTCGACTTTTGAAAAATAAGAGATTTAGAACCACTGTTACCCGTCAGCAAAGCCAAACGTCAATATGTGCCACTTGACCAAGTTTTTCTTTTAGTTGTTGTTTACTGTTCATTATATCTACACAAAAGTAAGTAGCTCCAAGCCTGTTTTATCCATAAGAATTTGGAGAATGAGGTTAATGTTATCCGCCTTAATATTTCGTAATTTGACAAATTGTCGCCTTGAATCTCATGTTTGCCGTCAAGGTGATTCTAAATATCGAATACTATTTACAAATCACTGTTAATTTATACTAAAAAAAACCCTCATAGAGTGCCACACGCGCCAAGCTCAAAGCTACTGGGGAAAGTTATTGAAACGACAATTTTACACAAAAAAAGAAAGGCGAAATGAATGGCTATTTAAGGATCTGTTTTAAGATTAAAACCCCCCAAGGCAGAGGCTACAGTGTGACCACCACTCAAATGCAAGCGATGCGGAGCAAAACTTTCCAGTGATGTTGTTTATCATACGGTAACTTTTAAGTCTGAATGAAATCTCCTATGGTGTTTATGTGCAACCACTCCAATGAAAGCTACTGAGCAGTACTTTCCTTTTGTACGGTTTAATATACCTTACAATAAGGGGTTCTAACTTTTGATTCTGTAGACTGACCCTAAAGTGTGACCATTCATGGAAAAGCTACAGTGAGCAGTACCTTTTACGAGGTACTCTTTACCGTGTGGTGTACAAAAGATAACCCTGCTAGGGTTAATTTTGGGAAATTTGAATTCAGATAAGGGACTGTGCAATAATTATCAGGAGGGGGGGGGGGCTGGAAAACTAGAGTTATCTAGCAAAAACTTAGACAGTACCCCCCTCCAAAACAAAAAAAATTAGTTCTAACCCCCCTCTGTTATGTTAAAAATAACGTCGCACCCCCCCCACCCACCCAAGATTTAGACAAAGCATTTGCTAAGTACCGGGGCGCTTACCACATTGGCTCAAAATCTAAAACTTCTGAGGCCAGAAAGAGAAAGGAGTAGAGAAAAAAAGTCAAATGCATTTTATTTAGATACTTGGGAGGAGAGCCTGATCAACTTTGTTATGAGCCAGATATATATGGAATTCAGCAAATCGATTCAGTCGATGAAGAAACATTACTTTTATTCACATCAAAAACCGACAAAGCTTGTCTACGAGATCTGTTTGATTCCCATAAAGCGCATTTGTCCATTGCTCGTGATGAAGTTTGTAATGAATCAAATGGGAGAGGGCAATGTTGAGGTGTCCTAATCATTCAACAACTAAGAGCCATTTCAATAATTAAGAGTCAATGAATATTTTAATAATAATAATAATAATAATAATATTTCTTTTCATTCATTAATAGAATCTTGGGAGGTACGCCTGACCTGCTTAACAGCGTCAGCCACACATGTCGCCTCAGCGCAGTCGTCAGGTTTTACACCTTGGCGGCTTGTCAGCACTATTCATATATTTTAAGGGCCTCTTCACATGAAGCCGGTTGACCAGGCTGGCTCGGTTTCCGAGATCTCGCCTTGCCTCTAAATCCTTTGTAAAAATTTTGATGTGTTCATATGAGAGAGCAGACTAACTCGGTTCTATAAGCGTGAAATGAAACGTAGTTCATAGTAATAAACTGCAATAATAGTACACAACGACAGAGTCCTGTACTACCGAAAGCCTAGGAGGTTCTTCCGACTTCAGACTTCCAGTTTCCGACTTTCCACTTCCAACTTTTCGTAGCAATGAAAGGCGGTGGTAGGCCTACACGACTTTTACCTTTCAAAGCTGCATTTGATGTAAGGATGTGAATATTTTTAATTTCACTTTTTCCTTAAATGACCGCACAGATTACTAGTAGTATAGGGTGCACCGAATTAACCCCTTTTTTGGGGAGGATTCTCATTAAGGTGGGGAGGAATACATTAACGCCGATGACGTCATAGGCTATTGTCTTGATCTCATGAATAAATGCCCAGGAATCTCATAAAGATAAGGTCATGTGCTATTTTAAGTTGGTTTAGGTTTTCTAGTTACTTTAAGGTCGATAAACGTCTTCGTTTTCTATTGGTTAGTTAGAAAATAAGAAAAGTTTTCATTGGTTAATTCATAGTGCCTGAGGAGTAAAGTCAAACTTGTCTCTGACTTAAAATCACTGAGACGTAACGTAATTATGCAAGTTCTATTTCCTGCTGCCGCGATTGTCCTGGTTCCGGTTCACTGATTTTTGGAATTTATTCCCATTTTTCCCTCCTCCTCCTCCTCCTCCTCCACATTTCTATTGTTTTCCCTCCACCACCACCACATTTCTATTGTTTTCCCTCCACCACCACCACCACATTTCTATTGTTTTCCCTCCATCACCACCACCACCACCACCACCACCACCACATTTCTATTGTTTTCCCTCCACCACCACCACCACCACCACCACATTTCTATTGTCTTCCCTCCACCACCACCACCACCACCGCCACCACATTTCTATTGTTTTCCCTCCACCACCACCACCACCACCGCCACCACATTTTTATTGTTTCCCTCCTTGAGTTTGGCCTTTTAGGCCTGATTTTGGCCTCTTTGGCCTTTTGAGGGAAACAATAAAAATGTGGCGGCGGTGGTGGTGGTGGTGGTGGAGGGAAAACAATAGAAATGTGGTGGCGGTGGTGGTGGTGGTGGTGGTGGAGGGAAAACAATAGAAATGTGGTGGCGGTGGTGGGGGTGGTGGTGGTGGAGGGAAAACAATAGAAATGTGGTGGTGGTGGCGGTGGTGGAGGGAAAACAATAGAAATGTGGTGGTGGTGGTGGTGGTGGAGGGAAAACAAGAGAAATGTGGTGGTGGTGGTGGTGGTGGTGGAGGGAAAACAATAGAAATGTGGTGGTGGTGGTGGTGGAGGGAAAACAATAGAAATGTGGTGGTGGTGGTGGTGGTGGTGGAGGGAAAACAATAGAAATGTGGTGGTGGTGGTGGTGGTGGTGGAGGGAAAACAATAGAAATGTGGTGGTGGTGGTAGAGGGAAAACAATAGAAATGTGGAGGAGGAGGAGGAGGAGGAGGGAAAAATGGGAATAAATTCCAAAAATCAGTGAACCGGAACCAGGACAATCGCGGCAGCAGGAAATAGAACTTGCATAATTACGTTACGTCTCAGTGATTTTAAGTCAGAGACAAGTTTGACTTTACTCTTCAGGCACTATGAATTAACCAATGAAAACTTTTCTTATTTTCTAACTAACCAATAGAAAACGAAGACGTTTATCGACCTTAAAGTAACTAGAAAACCTAAACCAACTTAAAATAGCACATGACCTTATCTTTATGAGATTCCTGCGCATTTTATTCATGAGATCAAGACAATAGCCTATGACGTCATCGGCGTTAATGTATTCCTCCCCACCTTAATGAGAATCCTCCCCAAAAAAGGGGCTAATTCGGTGCACCCTATACTACTATTACTGAACAATGGTAGTGACAGGTTTTCCCCTAATAGTGCTAGGAGATTATGTAACGTGCCTCTTCGTCCTCTCTGATGGGTTCATATGAACACTTCAGCCCAGTTACAGGGATGAAAGCAGGAAAGCGTGAAATGAAACGTAGTTCATAGTAATAAACTGCAATAATAGTACACAACGACAGATTCCTGTACTACCGAAAGCCGTGGAGGGTCTTCCGACTTCAGACTTCCAGTTTCCGACTTTCCACTTCCAACTTTTCGTAGCAATGAAAGGCGGTGGTAGGCCTACACGACTTTTACCTTTCAAAGCTGCATTTGATGTAAGGATGTGAATATTTTTAATTTCAGTTTTTCCTTAAATGACCGCACAGATTACTGAACAATGGTAGTGACAGGTTTTCCGCTAATAGTGCTATTAGATTATGTAACGTGCCTCTTTGGCATGGTGAACTATCCAGGACTTAATTTTTTGTGACAAATGAAAATAATTTTGTATTTCAATATACACCAAACCAAGCTCTAGATGTTTAAAGATGGATAATGCTATCCACTGGATAAATCACTATCCACTGTGTAATGCAATTCGCTTCCCTAACACTTAATATGTATTTGATAGGGAGTAGTAATCCAGTAGATAGCAGTATCTGACTTTTGAGCAATTGGAGTCTGGGAGATAAGATGTTTAAAGACAGCTGATTTTCTACATCACAGCAGTACAAAAGATTACGAAGTCTGATAGTACTGTTTGTACTTGCATATACTTTAATGGTTGGATTTAATTACAAGCGGGGATGTTAACAAATTAGAATAGGTAATAGCATGATTGCTAGTGATATTTGGCATAAATACCACGAGTGATATTTGGAAATTGTTATAACGTAATTTCACGAGTCGTTAGGCGAGTGAAATTTGAGACAATTTTGAAATATCAAGATTGGTATTTATGCTAAATATTTCGTCACGTACAAATCATGCTATTATTTGTTTATACTACTTCCTGCAAAGGGTTAGGTATTTCCGAGTAAGCTGAAATACCACTGCTCTCAGCCAATCAAATTGCAGAAAGTTCTCATGTAGTAGTATAATACATATAAACACACGTTCAAAGGCGATGCCTATTACGGGGGGAGGGGGGGTATTTAAAGTGCGTGTTATTTCAACTAATAGTCAAAGTCGGTATCTGAAGAGCTTTTTTATTTTTTCGGGCGAATTTTGTCGATGTATCTATCCTTTATAAGTCCAAAGTATTTTACTGCTTTCCTGGAAAGTTCTTTTATGTTGGATATAGTTAGGCGAAAAAGCTATTAATAATTATTTTAGGTTGCGTAGAAAATTTCACTGTTCATTGCAAATTTTGAAGGGTTTAGTTTCCATAAGCCAATTCGCGACTCCACCAGTGGTTTTCATTTTGGGGGGAAACCAGTCGTGGCTAGGGCTAAGTTCCAATAAAAGATGTACTGTATTTTTTGTTAGTGAAAAATACTTGTTGTTTAAATTTAATTTACATTCATTCAATGAATTACTGTATTAAGTGCCCATGGGCATAAACTTCGAGTTTTTCAACTAAAAGTCAGAGTCTGTAATTGGATGAGACTGTTGAAAAAAATTTCCCGCACGAGAAACTAAAAGTCAAACGGTCCATGCTGCGGTGAGACTATTGTTCAAAAACAGTTTATACACTGCACTCGCGAATTGTTTAGGTGGACCACACAAAGAAACATAACAGAGTTATACACTGTAAAGAGTGTAATTTTCTTTATGAATATTCTTTGTCTTTCTTAACGACTGTCAGTCGGCAAGCAGTAACCTTTTCATGTTTCGATCCTCGAAAGTCAAGAGAGAGCTCTCCGTCTTTATCAGTGTATGGAGCTAGATACTTTTGCAGTCCCCCGTCAGTGACAAGTGAAGGATCAAACAGGCCACATGTAGTCGACCATTGCCACTCGAGGAACTCCTGAACGGTTTCGAAGACAGGCCCCTTGCAGTGGATGTCAAAACTCCGAATGATTTCAAATCCCGCCAATAAACAATACCGATCAATCTTCGTCTTTGACTCAAGATGAAACAAACAAAAAAATACGCTCTGCGTTCTCCGGGTTCAGTAGCACGTAAGCGTTGTAATCAAACAGGGCAGATAGGACATGTATTGAACTGCTACTTTTCCACCAACCTTAAGACTGTCAAACATGTTGTTGAAGACTTGTTGCTTGTTACCCATCCAATGAAGAGCATAGTTACTGAAAACGATGTCGTAGACTTCAGCGCCAATTCCTCGGAAGTTTATAGCACTTCGTTCTGCGAATGAGAGATTCTCGATTTGATTGTGAGTCTCTTTGGCCAGCTGAATTCGCTCCTTATCAGGATCGACACCAATAACTTTTCCTTCGGGTCCTACCAGCTCAGCTAGGTATGAAGACAGTTCTCCTGTACCGCAGCCTAAATCCAAGATGACATCTCCAACTTTGGGGCAGACATCTGTTTGGATAAAGTCTTCACTGTCCACTTTTTGCTCGGAAAGCGAGTTTTGTTAGTAACCTTCAGCTGCACTTCGTTGCATTTTCTTTTACGAGTTGACGAAACGGCTTTAAGAGATCGAATAGGAAGGTGAAATTGCACCAAATTGTGAAAAGCCTTCTTATATATAGAGTTAGAATCTATCAAAGCATGCATATAGTTTGTCTCTCAACACGCTACGTGACTTAAAGGTTCTACGTGCTTTATTGTATCCGAGTTCTATTTTAGGTGACCAGAATAAGTTTAGAATAAAATAAAAGTAAATAAAGTTTAGACCAGTTTATTATCATTATTCTTACTATTCTTATTCTTACTATTATTATTAGTTTAAAAAACAATGGAGACCTTTAGCATCAGGTTTTTCATGGGAAACGGCAAGCCGCAAACCGCAAAATGTCACGTGACCACGGCCTTGCGGTCACGTCTGCAGTTTGCAGTTCACGTTTGAACCGCGGGAAAGGCTTTCAGCTGTAAGTGATTTACGGCAAGGTTTTTTGTCACAAAAAAATTGTACAGCCTTGCGTTTAAAGGTATGAACTGGCTTTTTAAATCCGTTTGCGATGTGTTTGTTGAATTTTTGATCTCCAATCAATGAATTATAGCTGATTTTTGGGCGATTAAACTGATGCACTTCGACTTGATGGAAACAACATGGCGGCCCTAAGCAATGAAACGCGTAGTTCAAATCGATTTTATATTCCTTTCTGCCGTACTAACAAAAGAAAGTATTCTGTTCCAATCCAGAGTTTATTTTTTTTTGTATCTTGTTACTGAATTCATAACTTAACTCAGTCGCTGTTTAGTTCCTGTTTTTAGCGCATCACTCCGCGAATTTTGATTTTTTTTTTTTTGCTTATTTGAGATTATTTCTTTGAGACTGGGGAGCCCAGGCTTCATAAGCCTTCTGGTTTCTTCTGGGCTCCCTTGCATCCTTACAATTCCTATATGTATTCTTGTATTGCATTATATTTTGCTTAAATAAAAATGAACTGAACTGAACTGAACGCCTTGCTAACATTTGAAATCTCGGCAACACGAAACTGCTAACGCGTAACTGCAAAGTGCGGTTTGCGGTTTGCGTTTGCCTGAAGCTAAAGGTCTCTAATAACAGCCGCACATGTCGCCTCAGCGCAGTCGAGGTTTTACACCTTGGTGGCTTGTCACATGAGCACGGTTGACCAGGCTAGCACGGTTTCCGAGAACTTGCAGGGCCTCAAAATCCTTTGTAAAAATTTCGATGTGTTCATATGCGAGAGCGGGCTAACTCGGTTCCCGAGAATCTCGGTTTTCCAACGGGAGATCCCGGTAAATTGGCTGAAAATTTATCCATATGAACACTTCAGCCAAGTTAAAGGGATGAAAGCAGGAAAGCGTGAAATGAAACGTAGTTCATCGTAATAAAGAGCAATAATAGTACACAACGACAGAGTCCTGTACTACTGAAAGCCGAGAAGGGTGGTCCGACTTCAGACTTCCAACTTCCGACTTCCAACTTTCGTAGGAATGAAAGGCGATGGTAGGCCTACACGACTTTTACCTTATGCTAAAATGCTGCTTGTTCGAATAACTTTTTTTTCCCTTCTGCCGGGTAGATTATGCTCTGGACGGTTCTGGTTAAGCCGCCTGTTTCACATTGAGAAGTCATGGCACACATATCGATTTACTGTGGTTTGTGTTTCTGGTCGTCAGGATTTGCCCTCTGATGTGAGAGCATATTCCCTTAACTCATTGTCTTCGCTTACAAATCAGGCCAAAATTGACGACTTTCATATTTTTATTAATATCTCTGCAGGTATTTACAGCAGTGTTTTAAGCAATAATTATAATAACAATAATAATAATATAATAATGGAATTTATATAGCGCTTATACATCGCTGTTCTAAGCGCTTTACAATGTAAAAAAAGGACATAAGAATATCATTAATTAATCACAAGCTTACATATAACACTACTGTACATATTGGGAAATTTATAGCATACACATCTTAAAAAGGAAAGAAAACAAAAACAAATATGATGAAACTAAATGTCATATACCTTTTTAAAAAGAAACGTTCTTAACTTAGATTTAAGAAGATTAACATCAGAACAAGCTCGAAGGGCGCTTGTTCCATAGTCGGGGGGCAGCAACGGAAAACGGTCGCTGGCCATAAGTTTTCGTGTTAAATTTGGTTCTTCAAGGCGTAAATGATCCCTTGATGACCGCAATGTCCTTGATTGATGGTAAAAAAATGATGGTAAAATTTTAAAATATCTTCACCTCTTTTAAAGAGTAAAGCTTTTTTCTACGACCGAGTAAGGACTCTAATTTTCTCCAAAGTGCCTTCTGGATCTGAATAACTATGTGATTGTTTTTAGTCCGTGAATCTGCAATGCTGTATCACGCTGGGTCCAGCTCCTTAGTTTTGTTTGCAGGATGTTAAATTATAACGGATAGTGATTTACAGATCCAAAGTTATAAAAATGAAGTACAGCTTAAATTGAAGCTGCATTAATTGTGGAGGATGCTTTGTGGCTCAGTAGATTCCAGCTTAGTGTTTTGCTAAAGAAAATGTGAGTCTTTTTACTGGACCGCGTATTTCCTTCCTTAGTTATAGCCGCTTTTTAATAAGCTTAACAGTGTTTTGGACTGTTTTGTTATCAGTTGTCACTTTTTGATCAGGTAAGACCATGGCTTCGGTTCCCCAAGCGAACCTCATCAGTTGCCTGATTGGCTTTGTGCTTAGTTGCTTTTACAAGAACAACTTCAGTTAATCTCTTTTGTGGCTAGAACGGTACAGCTGTTCTTTCTACTGAGCCTTGCCCTTGAGCATTAATACCCGCATGGCGGATTGAGCGGCAATCAAGCCTGACGGAGGAGTCAAGGCGGAAGTTGAAAATAGGAAGTCGGAAATCGGAAGTTGGAAGTCAGAAGTCGGAAGACCCTCCTCCGCTTTCGTAGTCCTTACATCCATATTGTTTTTTACAGTCAAAGCAGGTCAAGCGTACCTCCCAAGATTCTATTAATGAATTGATTACAATGAAACCTGTGTTAAGCGGACACCCTCTATTAAGCGACGGACAGTAGCCGAAGTCCCCAAATTTATTTCCCTTATTTACTTTAAATGAAACCTTTATTAAGTGGACACCTCTATTAAGCGGACGCGGACGCCTAAAAAGTACCTGAAATGGCCATTTCGATTGTTGCCAACCTGTATTAAACGGACACTTGTAATTAAATTCCACCACCCAACATGCCAGACACCGGCATGCTATTTTACCGTCAAGTGTAATGATTCTGTTATAGAATCATAGAATTAAGTACAACCGGTTCCGAGAGTTGCACTGCATGCAGTTGAAAGTTTGAACGTTAAACATGAATCACGATCGAAAAAAATAAGAGCAGTTCTGTATCATGCAGACATTTCCAAACGATATTTCTCGGTTTGTCACTTGAAAATCGTGTTTTACTTTTTGCATGAATTAAAGCAAAGGTCAAGGAGTAGTAACGTCACTGGACGGCATTAATGGCCGGTCGATTCAGACGTTACTGAGGGAGTGTAATAACGACTCGAAGTAATCGGATGAAATTCAGGCTAGGAAAATGAGCTGGTAGAATTAAATTTTGTAACTGCCTCGCGTGTGAATTCACGGCTCATTACGCATGCAAGAATGCAGAGATAAATCTGAAACGGATTCAACTTTCGAATAATAAATTCATTAATGGGATCTTCGGAGGTACGCTTGACCTGGCTTGACTTTAAACTAATAATAAGAATAAGAAGAGGAAGAAGAAGAAGAAACTTTATTAACTTTCATTTGATTCTAAACTAATTGTGGTCACCTAAAATAGAACTCGGATACAACAAAGCACGTAGGACTTTTAAGTCACGTAGCGTGTTGAGAGACAAATCATATATGCATGCTTAGATAGATTCTAACTCTATAATATAAGCAGGCTTTTCACACTTTTGAGCAACTTCACCATCGCATTCGATTTCTCAAAGACGTTTCGTCAACTCGTAAAAGAAAATGCAACGAAGTCCTGCTGAAGGTTACCAACAAGCCTCGCTTTCCGAGCAAAAAGTGGACGGTGAAGACTTCATCCAAACAGATGTCTGCCCCAAAGCTGGAGACGTCATCTTGGATTTAGGCTGTGGTACAGGAGAGCTGTCAGCATATCTAGCTGAGCTGGTAGGACCCCGAGGAAAGGTTATTGGTGTCGATCCTGATAAGGAACGAATTCGAGTGGCTAAGGAGTCTCACAGTCAAATCGAGAATCTGTCATTTACAGAGGGGAGCGCTTCAAGCTTTTTCAGAATGGATTCAAATTCATACGACATTGTTTTCTGCAATGCTGCTCTCCACTGGATGCCTGAAAAACAACAAGTCTTCAACAGCATGTTTTCAAGTCCGAAAGCTGGAGGGAAAATAGCTGTCAACTACCTGGACCGTCTGCCTCAGTTTGAGTTCAACGCGTACATGCTGCTGAACCCAGGGAATGGAGAACGTATTTGCCACGAAATGTACCAATGTGAGTCCAAAACTAAGATCGAACATTATTGTTTATCATCCGGGTTTCAAATTGTCAAGCATTACGAATTTTGCGTCTCGTTTGTTTTTAATTCCATTGACGGTCTTCTGAAATGGCACTGGTCGGTTACGCACGGTGTATTGGATCTTTCACTCGTCACTGAAGAGCGTCTGAAGAAGTATCTTTCTCCTTCCGTTGGCGAAAATGGGAAACCTTGCCTGGATTTCCGAGGCATAAAAGAGGAATCTACTGTGTACAGATTGATTGCCGTCAAGCAGGCTGAAAACGCCGGTTAAAAAACATTGGAGTAGAAATATCAGCATAATAGCTTTTCTTTGAATGTGCTGTTAGCTTTTAGTTTAAATGCAAGCCTATAGTTACGATATTGTAGACAAACACGTTCGAACAACTTTGCACGCATTAATACTGACGTTGGGTTCCGTTTTATGCACTTATCATGGGGCCATCCAGTAGGATGTATCCCAGGGACATACGAGA